ACGTTTGATTATCCTGTTTAATTGAAACTGGTCATAATACCTATATATCTTTGCAACATTTAGAACAGCATGCTTGGTAAAAATAACTTCTAAATTGTTTTAATAATTTCGGTAATTGTTGTGCGTTATCCTACACCTAAGCAAGCCTTAGGTAATCAACTTCTAAAAAACAGAGCCGTCTTTGTGATTAGTGTTTAACTGTCAACATGTTAAAATCAGTAGGCAAGCCTGATTAGGACTTCCTCTCTGAGTTATGTAATAAGTCTGACTCTGCTATCATTCTTAGGATCTGAATTTAGACCTTAATTGTGTATGAGTCATGCTGTTTGTGTGAACTATGTGCGGAGGTATATCTGAGCCTTTTATTTGTCGTCCATGCTCCCCTTTAATTGAAGTCCTATCTGTTTATTATGTGTCGCCTTAGTATTTTACCTTTAAACTTGAGGGTCTGCCTAGAACCCCCTTTATAGGATAGGAGTCCTAAATTCCTCCGGGACTGATAGGAAGGGACGGGTAACAGCATGCAATAGGGGTCGAGACCAACCCTCGCTTTAATTACCTTCACGGGGCGGGAAAGGGTAGATATGAATATGATGACCGGTGCGCTAATGCCACGCGTAGCCTCTTTCCAAGGAGTGATTACCGGACATTGCATTGATGTGATCAATATTATAAATAAACCTAGGATACCCCTTTACATTCATAAATATGCTTAGATTGTAATTCTTTTCAAAATCTGGCTTTTCATTAACTGTTTTTCAAATATCCGTGTACTTAAATTTAAATCCCCTATTATTTGAGTCATACTTGTTTATTTGCTAAATTGTACAAATCCACAAAACGTGGATCCTGAGGGGTGCCTAACACCTTCCCCTTAGGATAATTTCAAGCCCTTACCCTGTCTCTGGTTACCAAACGTAGTTATAAATGAACCCTATAGGTGCCCTAACGCACCTTAAATCATTAGGTGGCGACTCTTCAAAATGCAAACCCCTTTCCCAAAAGGAACGAGTTGTCTCAACCAAAAATGTCATAAACCCGATTTCGCGAGAAAAAGGGGCGCGACAAAGGGTGTCACATAAGTTGGAACAGAGGAAGTATATTTTCTGGGTTCTCTCATTTGAGCTGTGATGCAATCAACATTAAGTTCGTTTAATTTTTTTGTACTTTATGAAACCAAGTTCTTATTTTTTTCATTTCACATACTTGTCTAAAAGGCCTCTTACTAAGCCCTTACTTTAGGCCTCGGATTCTATTGGCCAAAATTTTATGGTATAGCCAGTTTTCGGACTGGTCAATCAAAAATAGCCACCGTTTTGCTGCAATAGAGACCGGTCCAGCATAATATACTGGAGTTTCGGTGCGCTTGTGTATGAACTCCAGCATATTATGCTAGACCGGTATACTTTGCTGGCTCCAGTATAATATACTGGAGACTGGAGCACTGGTGCTCCAAACTCCAGTATATTATACTGGACCATTATACTTGCTGGAACTCCAGTATATTATGCTGGAGTTCTAGTGTATTTATGCTGGAACTCCATCATATTATGCTGGAGTTCCGCATACTATCCTGGAACTCCAGTATAATATGCTGGAGTTCAAGTATACTTATGCTGGAACTCCAGCATAATATACTGGAGTATTTTCCGGGTTTTGAATAGTGTTTTCGCTCAGATTTATCTTTACATAAAAAGTGGCTAAATTTCGATTACTTTTGAAATTGGACTATTTTTGAACGACCAGTTGTAAATCTGGATATTTTTAAAAATCACCCAACCCCATTCTATTGAGCCCCCTCTGATTCACAACAGCCCCCTAAATATTTTCTCAAAAATTAATTCCAACATAACTTTCCTTAGTTCGTTTAAAAAGGAACTACTAAAGCAAAACAAATTAATAGATAAATTCCAAAAGGCACCGAATTGGATATGCATGTTTGTGTAACAATCTATACTGTATTAAAAGCACGAAGGCCCTTAGCGAAATGTCGTTCGCCTTTTTTACCTTTTAAAAATAGAGTTCACATTGGATAAAATAGTAATTTAAATATTTTTCTAATATGTAAGAATGATCATTTAATATTTTCCTAATATCTGGGACATTGAAATTAACTTTAATTCTGATTATTAAAATTTTACATAGGTGAATTATGTAGAGAATCTTTATATTTAGGATTCTAAATGCAATTAAATTTTTTTTTATATAGGTTTCCTTATCTCGAGCACATTACTATTAAAGTTGTAGTAAACTATATTTTTTTATCATTCAAAACGTAGAAATTAAGTACTCATATTTGTACTAAAAATTTTCCGTAGATTAGCACTACTTTAAAGCTACTAAAAATAGGTAAATATAAGTTATATATGACACAAATGTAGAATATTCATTGTATTTGTCAAAATTAAAAGTAATATCGAATTATTGGGTTCAAAAGGAAAAAAAATTAAAAGAATAAGCAGGAATATCCCTACTAAAGGGCGTTAGAAACGTTACCAATTTTTAATGACACCAGGGTTTAGTCTCTCTCGATTAAAGATTTCATTATTATTTTAAGAGTATTTTTCGTGTCTTTTACCTCTCTTTTATGTTCTTTTTAGTTTGCCATATGACAAGTTTGATATTTTCATTAAGTCTTAATCGTTGATTGTGATTTAAACTCTTTTATTGCTTATTAGTGCTTTTGCTTTTATTTACCATCTTCTTTTATGTTCTTAACTTGGTATTGTCTAACCTTTGTGTTTTCTTTCTCCAATTTTTAGGTTGCCGATTCTATATCTTAGAAGTTTTTGAATCTTTTAAAACTAACACAACAAAGTATATCGTGAAACGAGGTAACTTATTGTTTATTTTGTTCCTCACCAAATGAGATATGAATTACGCCCTAGCATTTGAGTCCCTTAATCTTTTTTTTATTTTTTTGATTTTATAGAATATTATTGTAACATTTGACAGTTTTTTCTTCGTTTAGTTTGTCGTTACTTTTGTTTTTGATGCTTTTATAGGATTTTGGAAGAATTATTTTCCACTTAAGTCTTATTCTTTTCACCGTCCAATTCATTTTTTTTAGGATAAAAGATTATGTTGGTTAATACTTTGGGTTAAAAGACGATTTACGTATGAGAAAATATCTAAATACTAATGTAGTTATATTATTTTATATTTATATACTGACATCAATATTACACAATAATTTATATTATTTTATATTTATATATTATTCTATTAATACACGCAAAGTTCACTAAAGCTAGTATCCTTAAAAATTGATACGTCCTTCAATTACAGAGCCTTTTCAATCAGACATGCATGTATAAAAGCCATATGTCCCAACACCACCCGTGAAGTCTGCAGTGAAAGAATTTGAATGACGACCTGCTTTACCATCACGGGCTTCTAACTTATGGTTCTCCTCTTTCCACCGTACGTTTTCCCTTTTTATATCTGTGTGTTCCACTGTACTGTGATGTGCAAAAGGAGGCGGACGTAAAAATTGCACGGGGCGCCTTATTTGGTCGCTCTCATTTAATCTATATTTATTTTTTTAAAATTTTTTAACTTGTACCCATTTTTTAAATAATTTCATCCCCCTTTCTCCTCCTCCTTCTCCTCCTCAAAGTTATATCCGCCCTCCGCTCTTTCTGAAGTCCGTGACTAAAGGTCCCTGCTTGATTGAATGCTGGCAATAGATGCGTTGAAGCAGCAGCTAATTGAAACTAACTGGTTTGAATAAATAAATCAGCTTATCATAAATCTGTATAAGTGCGTTGAAAACTTTTCGTTGTAGAAAAAATGCACAGACTTTTTATCTATTTATGCTAAGACTAACTGGTTTGAATCACAACGAAAACCCCTTTGTTTGTGTCATCTCTTAACATCATCGGTTTTGATGGATGGTTTAGTTTAAGCCTCTGGGAAGCACGAAAACCATAAGCCAGTTACAAAACAAAAACTTCAGTTTCGTCAGTTACAAAACAAAAACTCCAGCTCTAGAGCAGAAGTTCGCCAGTTACAAAAACAAAATCTTCAGCTCTAGAGCTGAAGTTCGCCAGTTACAAACAAAAACTTCAGCGCCAGTTACAACAAAAAATTCAGCTCTAGAGCTGAAGTTCGCCAGTTACAAAAACAAAAACTTCAGCTCTAGAGCTGAAGTTCGCCAGCTACAAAACAAAAACTTCAGCTCTAAAGCTGAAGTTCGCCAGTTACAAAAACAAAAACTTCAGCACACTTTGGTTCAGCACACTTGCTACTTCAGGCTTGTCTATTAGAATGCTGAAGTTTTGCGTGATTGCCTTTGCTACTTCAGCCCCATATGCTGAAGTTATGCAAAAAAGCGAGTACGCTTGCAATTTTTTTGCAAAACGGACACAAGTTAAAACGTGACACAAAAAGCGGGTATAGATGCAAATCCCCCTATAATTTATATATGAGCTGCTAGCTAGTACTAGAGAACTTTTAAGGGTGGTTTGCTTCTATGGATAGACAAAATACTCTTGCCATAAAAATATACGTCTTATTCTTTGTTTGATTACTAAGTTTGAGATAAATTATTTCATAATTAAAAATAATATTGGGGTAACTTATACCTATCAGAGGGTGGAATAATAGTCCCAAAATATAAGTTATCCCAAGATAATAAGTAAACTTGATAATTCGAGGATTAATACAACATACCAAATAGTGAATAATTAAGAAAAAATACCAGGATAACTAATTTCAATATGACTAATCTCAGCATAACCGATCCCAATATAACTTGTCTTCGAAGCAAACGACCCGTTAGTACTAAAAGAATTTTTTCCTTCATTCATTTTCAATAAAATATTAGACCGAGATGGACTAAAACTATGGAGCAACATAAACAGTGGCAACTCATATAGCTAGCCAACAATTTAAGTTTGATTAGAATTGGCAGTAACAACTTTTGTACTGTTTTGCCCCCACAACAACCTCTTTGGTTCTTCAGCTTATAAATTCAAGAATTTAACCTCCAAACTCCACACACAAGTTGGTTGGTGAGTAAGAAATTAAAACATGCCTATGACAGGAAACAAAGTGGGAGCATTGGTTACGGCGGTTCTAGGAATACTACTAGTTATAGCAGAATTAAGAAATGGGTTGAGCTTGTGTAACATGAAGGAAGATGGACTAACGGCGTGTAAGCCATCAGTAACAAAGCCAAATCCGGTGGAGCCATCTGCTTCTTGCTGTGAAGCCTTGTCTGGCGCAGATTTGCAGTGCTTGTGTTCTTATAGGAATTCACTCTTATTGCCCTCTCTTGGAATTGATCCTGAACTTGCCTTGGCTCTTCCTCCTAAATGCAATCTCACTTCTCCTGCTAACTGTTAAAAATATAAAGGTCTTTAATTTCTTCCCTATACCTAGCTAGCTTCTTACTTAAACCTTTCTTCTCTATACTTTATGAATATGCATACAGTTGCTAATTGGTTGTTACGTGTATTTTATTTTCAGCTGTCTGCAAAATGGCTGATTTAGAAGAGAGGAGACAGAGATGATACCAACTCTCCTAATGTATTTCTAAGTTTGATTTTCCATGTACTCTATTAAATAGAAAATAAAGTAATCACCAGTAAATTTGTGATACACAGATTGGTTGGTCTCTTTTTCATTTATCTTTCCTTTTGCTCCAAATTAACTAACGAAAGCTTCGATCCCGCTCTTGGTTTTATTTTTAAACCTGCCCGGGATACCTTAAAAAAAAAAAAAAAGAAAAAAAAAAAGTAATGCTCCCTCCTTTTCCACCTTATGCTGTATAATCCAGAATACGAGGGTGAAATTACCTAATCTTCGATGTGTATTTGAACATAAAAAAATTTAAATTTTTAAAATAAATTTATATATTTAAAAATTACGTAAAAAATATTATAAGTTACAATAATTAACAATTTAAAATATTCAAAAAGTATATCATGAATAGATCGCTGTCGAAAGAAAATGCTTTTACTAAACATGCTAGTATATGATGTTAGGTATTTGCCTGATTTAATTACAATATTTAGTTATTCTATCTCTTGAAAAAATGACGACATATTTACTATAATTGGTTCTTTTCTTTTTCGAAAAGTAAATTATAAATTTCTCATATTTAGCTAGTCGTTTTCTTGGAGGAAAAGGTATTATTAGACTTCTATAAAATGAGTATCAGCATCCACAATGTAGTCATAAGGAATTTGGGAGTCTTGTTTAGAGGGAGAGATTTTTAGACAAGTATTATTCTGCCACTTATATGTGCCTCTTTGCGATGTTGTTCTCTTAATAATTTGTACTCTCTTTCATATAATGGGTTTGCTCATCTCTGCATGTTGATGTATGCCAATTGACAGAATTAAGTTAAATATGTTAGTCTCTTTTGATAAATTTCTCTTGTATTGTCTGACTTATCATCGTCAATTATTGGCCTTAATTAGCGTGATCTGATTATTTCAATTATAACTTATGATTATGTTGAGAGGAATGACGATGCTACATGTATACATACGCTGATTGTATCTTTCTGTTTAGTTGAAGTGGTAAAATATGAAAAGGTCAAAATGTCTGACTTTGTATATCATGGGCAAACCTAACTTCAGAATAATTATAATACCATCAAAAAAGAAAGAAAAAACTGAGAGGGAAATTGAACGGAGGTGGATATCAAAATCATTTCAGCCGCATCATCTCGTCCCCCCAATTTTTGAAACTAATAATACTCTTTTAGGGCATGCTATAACGTGTCTAGGCAAGGAGATAGCGAATTCGGAGAGGAAAATTGACTTGTTCTTTGTATATTCCCCACAATTAGCATAGCTAGTTGATCTGCCACTGTATTTCCTTCTCTCCGGGTGACTTGCTAACCTATTCCACCGGAAATGGGAGGAAGAGGAAGAGCGAAGAAGAACACCAGCAAAACGCCAGTCATAGAGAGGAAACTGACGGACATCATCACACGCGAGCAAGGAAAACAAAACACTAAAGCAAAAGAGAAAATGCAGGAGGAAGATCTGGACCAGGACAGTGACAGTGACCCAAATTGGCCGGATCTGGGAAATAATCGAGTCAAAATGGTAACATCGGTGAGTTCTAGCAATCAATTGACACCTATGGTGAACTCTGGTAAAAGAATTGTTGCAGTGCTGACTGCAAGTGAGCAGCCAAGCTCGAGCAAAGTGCAGACCAATGGAACAGTACATGCAAGCCCATCAAAGGAACAGAGGAACTCAAAGATTGATAATCAGAATAAAATTCAGCTGAAAAAAGCAGAACCAGCAGTAGAGAAGGGAAGATCATGGGCAGGACTATTCCAAGAGAATATTGGCAACAAAAGGTATGAATCTAACTTACATACCCCCTGCGATGAAGAATGGTGAAGTAGTAGTAGTACAATTGATGGAAGAGGATATCGAAGAGGAGAACCAAAAGTGGAATCGAGTTGTTATACTCTATGTGGTGGGGAATACTCCATCAATTAGTGCTATTGATAGATTCATAGCTAACCAATGTGTTAATGTTCGGAAACCTAAAGTGTTATTCCATAACGATGGGTATTTCATCATACTGCTAAGTAACAATGAAGATAGAGAGAGGATGTGATGCTGAATGGGCCTTATACAATTAATAGTAGGCCAATTATAATTAGACCATGATCGGAGAACTTTGATTTTAATGAAGAAGTGTTGAAAACCATTCCCCTATGGGTTAAACTCCCAAAATTTTCACTCAACTACTGGAGTAAGCAGGCTCTAAGTAAAATTGGAAGTGGTTTGGGGAAGCCAGTGTATATTGATGCTTGTACTACAATAGCTGAAAGAGTTTCATATGCCAGGGCCCTGATTGAAATGGATGTTACAAGAACTTTGCCAGAGAAGATTAAATTGTATGATCCTAGAGGGAAGGTGATAGAGCAAATAGTTCGATATGATTGGAAACCACAATACTGCCAAACATGCTGCCAACTGGGCCATTCATGCAGAGATCAGAAGAAGCAGAAACAGGAAGGAATGATGCAGAAGATTATGGAAATAAAGCAGAAGCAGAAGTGGAAAAAAGTCAGAAACCTTGAGCCTGCTGCAGATAAAATTGATGCTCAAGGAAGATTCCTTAATCAGTTGGAGGAAGTAGAAAATGTTCAGCTAAGTAAGCAAGAAGCTAAACCACAGTGGCAAGTTGCTCGAGGGAAATTTGCTACAAAGAAGAATGCAGAAGTGGCAAAGGAAAATGAAGTGAACATTGGCAATGCCTTCAAAGCACTAGTTGATACAGTTCAGAAGATAGTTCAATTATCTGAAGCCCAAGGTGTGAGGGAGAAGCAGAATAAGAAGTCTAGGGAAGGTGATCCAGAACAAACACCCATATCATGAAGAACATTATAGCATGGAATGTGAGGGGTTTGAATAAAGTATATAAGCAAAAAGAACTAAAAAAATTTGTAGAACTAATAAAGTGGTACTGGTGGCTATTATAGAACATAGAGTGAAGTGAAGCAATGCAGACTCAATAATAAAGAAGACCTTCAACAACTGGAAATGGGTTGACAATTACAATGAAGCTCCATGTGGTAGAATATGGGTAGCATGGGATCCAACTCAGGTGGACTATTTGATGATCAGAACTCATGAGCAATTTATAATGGGGAAGGTAACTAATGATGCAACATAGAACCAGTTTCAATTACTGTGCAGTTTATGGTAAACACACAATTCAAGATAGGAAAAATTTATGGGAGGAGTTACAGGTGTCAGTGTAGGGTATAAACAGTCCCTGCCTCATAATGGGAGATTTCAATATTGTCCTAACTAGTAAGGATAGGATCAATGGCAACCCTGTACAGGAGATTGAGATAAGGGATTTCAAGGAATTCTTAATGGATGCAGGATTAGATGAAATGAAAACTGTGGGTAGACAATACACATGGACTAATAACCATGTCCATAGTAGGATTGATAAAATCCTGGTTAATGCAGAATGGATACAACAATGGCCTTACATGGAGAGAATCATTATGAATCCACGATTTTCAGATCACTGTCCTTTAAGTCTGGGATTTGACATTAACAACCAAGCAGGCATGAGACCTTTCAAATTTCCCCTTTCCTATTTGTTCTAGCAATGGAGTACCTAAGTAGGTCATTGAAGACACTGAAGGGCAATAAGCAGTTTAGATTCCATCGAAGGTATGTCAAATTCAATCTAGTTCAACTGGGATTTGCAGATTATTTACTCCTATTTTGTAGAGGTGATATTCAATCAGTACAGATGTTGCACAAGCACTTCCAAATGTTCTCAGCAGCCTCAGGCCTAACTGCTAATCCAAAAAGTAGCATTTATTTTGGTGGCGTGATAACATGCTGCAGCAGCAAATTATGAACATACTAGGCTATACAAAGGGTGAGATACCATTCAAATATCTGGGTGTTCCATTAAGCACAAAGAGGCTGTCTGTCATTCAGTGTGAACCCTTAATAGAGAAGATGTTAAGCAGAATTCAAAGCTGGACCACAAAATTTCTATCATATGCAGGAAGCGCAATCCTAGTCAAAAGTGTACTATTTGCTATACAAACTTTCTGGGATCAGATCTTCATCTTGACCAAGAAAATTATCCATTTCATAGAAGCAATTTGTAGAAGGTTCCCATGGACAGGAAATGCTGAACCAACAAAGAAGGCCTTGATAGCCTGGGACAAACTGTGTGCACCAAAAGTAGCTGGGGAATTGAACTTCATCAATGTGGAGCTATCGAACAAAGCAGTCATTTGCAAGTTACTATGGAGTATTTGCACAAGAAAAGAGAAGATGTGGATTCAATGGGTGCATACTTACTACATAAATGGGAACACAGTCTGGAATACAGAACCAAAGAATGCATCATCGGCCATACAAAAGATTTTCAAAGCAAGGAACTACTTTGCAAGTGCAGGGCTATTAGAAGAAGATGTTCAGAAGATGGAAAAAATGTTCTATCAAACAACTATACAAAACCATGCAAAGAGACTTTCCAAAGATGAAATGCAGGAAACTAGTATGCAACAATCAGGGACAACCCAAGTGGACATTCATTCTAAGGCTGGCAATTCAGCAAAGACTGCCTACTAAAGAAAGGCTAGCAAGATGGGGTATAATTGCATATCAAACATACTCATTGTGTAACAAGAAAAGTGAGATAGTGCAACACCTATTTTTTTTTTATAGTGAGACAATAGGGAAGATATGGCTTCGACTACTGGAATGGCAAGGTATACAAAGACCAAAGAAAGCTTGGCAGGAGGAAGTGATATGGATGGCACAGGTAAGCAAAGGAAGGAGTGCAGGTGCAGGTGCAGCAGTATGTAGGATGACCCTAGCAGCTGTAGTCAAACCACATTTGGCAAGAAAGAAACAGTGTATTTCAGAAGAAGAGGAGAACAAGCAATGCCATATTACGACTAATCATACAGGAAGTTTATATAAGGTCTGCCAAATTTCCTTGTCTAGATAGAACAATGGCTAATTTGAATTGGTACCCTGTAATAAACTAGAGTATGAAGTAGCGACTAAGCTGGTGAAGCAGTAGAAGTTTTTTAAGGATAGCTATCTCCTAACTGGGGCTCTATGCCCAGTGGGAGGTATGCTAGAGTTTTGTAATAGAATGTACGAACTGCAAATATTGTTAGTGGTAAATAAAATACTTTAATTAACAAAAAAAAAGTGAGTAAAAGTGGTGATATATTGATATTGACAATTTAATCGTCTAATTAACTTCCTCTAAGCCTTATTTTGTTGATAATTCTAAAACAGATAGAGAGAGGACTAATTCACAGCACCCTGACTTTTCTTCTTGATGTTATCTTACAAATATTGTTTTATTGTGAAGTATTTATAACATAGTTTATTTAAATAATTGTTTAATATTGAAAACCACTCTACCCCATTAACTATTTTCCTATTTTATCGATGAATATCCAACAAAAAAGATTAGATCCCCTTGTTGCCTTTGGCACAGTACATCACAATGGACACTTGGATAGTAATATTTGTCTAAGTTTATATGTGTTACCCACTATTGCATATATTAACTATTTTATGTGTCATGTTATATACATTGTATAAATAGTAATATAAATTGTATTTAAGTGTGAGTATAAAGATATATAAATTAAAAATACATGATATATAATTTATATAATAATGATATAATTATTTTATAATGTGTATATAAGTGTGAATCAAAATATATAAATTAAACATACTTGTTATTTAAGTTAAAATATCACATCCTACGATGTAAAAACACACTGTATATACTAGGAAAATATATGGTATATAATATGATTTATACAAACATAATTTCTTAAAAAAACACATTATAAATTATACTAGATATATACATGATATATAATATTTCAATTTTATATTCTTTAATTCATCACTTTTAGCAAAACTATAATGAATGACGACTTGGTAAGAAAGGTAAAAAATGAACAATAAAAGACAGCTACTGGAATGTTCACACGAGCAGCTATTGAAATTTGTTTCATCCCTCTTTCATATGAGAATAGCTCTATTTTCCTTTCATTTTTTTTCTTCTTATTTTCTTTTTTCTTTGTTTTCCAAAAATATGCCTCTTGCTATAATAATCTTGCACTATCATAAGCAACTGCGATATTTTGATAGTCATACATTGTATAATTATGGTATCATATGTATTTAAGTGTGAATCAAGATAAATATAAATTAACAATACCGAATCCTATAATTCACAAAAACTACATGTTATATATATGTGAACTAAAATTATGATTTATACAACAAACAAGATTGAAAAAACATTAATAACTGTACAATGAGTATTTATGGTATATAATATATTCATTATATGTTTATGAAATAATGTTGGCATATAGCATATCTAATTAAAAATATTTTATTATATAAATTGTATAATAATAGTATAATGTATATGTGTTTATGCATGTTTGTTTTAGCTAGAACGTATTCTTATATATTTATGGAATAAATAAAAATACATAGCATAATATTCATTATATATTTATGAAATAATGAAAGAGCCATTATGGTCAAGTTGAAAAAGATGAAGATGTAAGATGAGAGGGGAGATAGAGAGAATGGAGTCGTCTGTATGAAGGGAAGAGAGAGAATAGATTTTGAGGGGATAAATTAATGAGAACAAATTAGTAATTAATGAATCTTTTAAAACATAAGGCAAATAAACGAATGAGATTGTAAAACATGCCATGATTGTAAATTAATTTGCTGTTTTAGGAATAAAGCAAAAGTAATACCATTTACATTATTAACTCTTTAAAAAAGATCTATCAAGTAAAAATCTCATTTGATGAAAATAGGGTTGAATGGATATCAAGTGACTTTATATAGCATGTCCGGACTAGTTTGAAACTACGGAGTAGTTACTTATTAATTAGGTGAACTTTTCTGATCTGTATTCGTAAAATTGAATTGATTTTTTTTTGCCTTTTCTTTTCATTTGTTTTTTTTTCTTTTTAATTTACTGTAGGCACTTGATTGTAGAAATTCAATAATTCTTTTAATGATGATTTACTAACTTTGACATGTAAAGATTGTGTGTTATTTTACTTTATGCACACCATTGACATGATTAGGAACTTTTAGAAATATAAATATAAGACAATAATCACGAATAAAATGGAAAATGATTTAAATGGACCTAATATTAATTTGTTGGTAGAAAACTATTGAGAGGTAAAGTTTAACTCCATAAAGCTCTTCTCTTTTGGTATCCTAATCCGAAATCGCTCTCAAGTCTCAACTCTCAAGGGAAGGAAGGAAAAAAGAAGAAAATATTTTTCGTATTCAGTCATATACTTTTATATAAAATGATAAAGGAGCGAACAATAAGCCAGGATAATTTATCTATGTTAAATCCAATTGGAATGCACTATTTCTATTTCCCGTCAAGCTTATTCTGTCTTCCCTATTTCCGGTGTTAAATACTAAAAAGCAATAAAGAGAAAACTGTACTTAAATCATTAATTATCTCGATTTGTTCATAAAGTAGTTGGTACATTAATAAGATACCAATTCAAGACGCCGAAGTCAATCTTTGTCTCCCCAAATGTAATATACCTTTCTTCTTTCTCTCAAGACCAACTATAGTTCTAGATTTCTTTGAATAATAATTCTTCGAAAATTATTTTACTCGTTCCTCATCTTTGAAAAACTAATTAAAACCAAAGAAAAATGTCCATTTTCTTGATCTATTCAAACTACAACGGCGCCGTTCGCCCCTTCCTTTAAATTTTCCTTATATTTATTTCTAAACGAAAAATAACTTAATCACAAAGCAAAAAAATACCATTATTGATAACCATATTAGGACTACGCTTAAAAGCGTTACAACTGAGAACTAAGCAAAAGCTCCGGACAACTTTCCGGCAATACTCCGCCGCGAAACTCGTCTGTTCTCCGCCGTGAATCTGCTTTCTAACTCGGCGTTTAACTCACTGAGTTACTGACTTCAACAAAATGGTTCAAGAATCTTTCATATACAGCTTTGTAGCGCGTGGGACAATGGTACTAGCTGAGTACACAGAGTTTACTGGAAATTTTCCGGCGATTGCAGCTCAGTGTTTACAGAAATTGCCTTCTTCAAACAATAAGTTTACTTATAATTGTGATCATCATACTTTTAACTTCCTTGTTGAAGATGGTTATGGTAAATTTTCCTTTTATCTTTCAGTTTTAGCCTCTCCTTTTTGTATTGTTTTTAGTATCTTTTACACTTTTTTTAGTTGGATTTGAAATGGGTATTGCTGGATCTTGAGTGGTAGAGTGTAAAAATGGATTTTGTCGGTAGAGTTTTAGGATTTTTTAAAAAAAGTTACAGTGTTGCTGGGAAGAAAGGGTATTATGGGTCTTGTGAAGAACTGGAGCCTTTATTGGATTCAGAGGCTAGAGTGCACGTCTTTTTTTAGTGAGATTCGTTTATCAACAGATGGCATGTTTGGGAATTAACTGATGGGAAGTGAGAGAACAACTTTGGCGGATGTTGTGCCCTTCTGTTTGTTGAATAGTCAATATTCTCTATACTTATCAAAGAACAACAGTAGATTCTAATGGTTTATTGAATAGTCAAAATTATCTATGCTTAGCAAAAGAAATCCAGATTCTAACGAAATACTAGAAAAGAGGAGTTGTTTACAGAAGCAACGATGATACGTACTTCATCCTAATGAAGTGTAGTTTGCTACTTTTCATTTACAAATGACCAATGACGGTATGTAGAATTGTGAACCCATTCTATAGTTGTAGCTGTAACATGATTAAGGTACAACTTGGCTTTCTAATCTCAATGGAAGTCCTACACACAGCACTACGGGTCAAGATTTAGTATGCTGTAGGTTGAAGAGCTGAATGAGATGCAAAGGAGCTAATGGACTTAGAGTATAATTTCTGCTTACCTCGGGTCATATTGTAGTTTAGATAGAGTAGAGTGGATGATTGATGATCATACTAGTTCATGCTATATATGTACCTCTTGTTTAGACTGCAGCCCCTGCCTGCTCTTCTATCTATAAAGGAAAAAAGTTAAAGAAGCCAAGTCTGATCTCAAAGAATCTTTAGGCTGCTGAAATGTCTCGGCTAATGCTTTTTTTAATTTGGAGAAGGTGTCTCCGGTAATGATTTCACAGAGCCTTTACCACTTAAATTGTAAAATGATATCATTAGCTATATGGTCTTGTGTCTTGAGTCAAAAAGCTATATGGTGTGGTGTTTCCTAGAAAATCTGCTCGAGCTTGCTATCGCTTGATACCTGCTTGGAAAATGATGTTAATCACTTTTTTGCTGCTTCATTGATCTCCTTTCACTTAAGTGACTCCAACTGTGTTATAGTAAAGGTTGATGCAGTAGCTGAACCTTTTGCAAGTCTGATTTAATGCATGTTAACCTTTGCAGCTTATTGTGTTGTTGCCAAAGAATCTGTGGGGAAGCAAATTTCTATTGCATTTTTGGAACGTGTGAGAGCCGATTTTAAGAAAAGATATGGTGGTGGTAAAGCAGGTACCGCTGTGGCTAAAAGTCTTAATAAAGAGTTCGGGTATGTTGCTGAAGTATTCTCATATTATACTGCAGTTGTATTCTATTACAAACAGAAGTTTAACGGGTAAAATATGTCAACCTTTGCAGACCTGTCATGAAAGAGCACATGCAGTATATAATTGACCATGCCGATGAGATTGAGAAACTATTAAAAGTTAACGCCCAGGTGTCGGAAGTCAAAAGTATTATGTTGGAGAATATAGAAAAGGTATGCCAAATAAACTGGAAAAAGATCCCATGTTGTATATGATATTATCTGCTGCAATATGGTTCACTTGTTTCTTCATCGCGTGTATATTGTCCTCTTGCATCCTCTTTGGATTTTGACTAGGATGGATTGTCTAGTATCCTGGCAAAAAGTAGTAATTTTTTTCTCCTTTTCGGGCAGCTAAATGATCGTCTTGTAGCAGATCTGTAGTTAAAAATGCAGCTTCTTTAATCCCACCAAAAACTGTGCGAGTGTTTATGGATGAATATATGTGGGCCTGATATCTGATTAGAAAACATATCCTTAGACCTTACTGGGTACCTCACTGTAATGTTTTAAATCTTCCAATGCTAATCTGTCCCTTCTGAAAACCATTGATGGACACCATAGGCCGGTGACAAAATCAATTTCAAAGTTCTAGAGATAAAAGAAAAATTGGCCTTATGAAGAAATAGGTAGCATTTTGCTTTCAGAGTATTGAGTTTGCATCTTGGTTTGGGCTTAAAATTTATAAACTTCACCCAGTTAGGTGCTTTTTCCTTGTCAATCATATATAGTTTATCTAAATTATGGAATTTATCTTATCCCCTATTTTTATATGCATTAACATAAACGCTTCCTTTTTGACTAACAAATCTTTGCTCAGATACAATGACATCTTAAGTCATGTAGTTGGTGTGGACCATTCATATCAGACTAGATAATTGTTTGAAACTAGATCGTTGTTCTTTTTTTTTCTTTTTAAATAGGTTAATAATGTGTGATCTTTTTAGATTTAGTATCAGGGAATCATAGCATCCTTTGTTCCTTAATGGATCCCGAAACCCTGTCAAAATTACGAAACTGTACCTTTTCAGTTAAGATGCATCTAATGTTTGGTAAAGCCTGTTGTTTGCCACCCTCTTTAAGTTTCAATGTACCATTCAGGAGAAGCGTCTTGAAATGTGATTGAGTTATGGTTGTTTTCTGAGGCAATAACCATGTGTTTCCTTTCTGATTTTGGTTGTACGACGAATCAAATGGGACATAAATGAAAAAAAAAAAAAAGCATCTCCAGGGCACTAATCTATTATGTGATGCATCAATATTTTGTCTTATTAAGTTATTTTTCTTGTGGATTTGCTCTGTCTCTGACATCACTTTGTGTTCCTTGGGATTACAACAATTCAACCCATGAAGTGCTTTAATGGTCACTTGAATAAAGATGGCCGCTTATAGTGCCAATAACAGTAACTAGTATTATTTTTAGAACATAAAGTTCTAAAAATAGAATTTCCACCTAGTTTGGAGGACGACTTCTTAAACGCTGTATTTATTATGCTGAAGCTCAGATTTAATAGTAATTGTCCCGCTTCTTGTATCCAAACTTGATCAATGAGAGTTGTTGACATGCCTTATTCTGCGCTTTAGGCATAAATGTGTATCTAATGCAATGTGCTTTTGTTATTATGTGTCAACATAATGTGGTTTTATGCTTCAGCAATTGCTTTAGGCTTTTACAAACATCTCTGTGTGTGGAATAAGCAACAATCAAGCTATTGAAACTTCCATTCGTTTGACTTGTTTAAACCTGTCAGGCCATTGAAAGAGGGCAAAACTTGACTACACTTAACGACAAGGCTGAAGATCTGCGTGATTCGGTAGGTTTGGTTGATGATTTCTATTTAATAGCAAGTGTTAGTAGCATCTGTAAGATCTTGTGTGTTTGCTTTCAGGCCCAAGAATTCAAGAAAAAGGGGACTCAAATACGGCGGAAGATGTGGTATCAGAATATGAAAATAAAGTTAGTTGTGCTAGCCATCATCCTAATTTTGGTTCTTATAATCTGGCTTTCAGTTTGCCGTGGCTTCAATTGCACAAACTAGCATATCAACAGCGCACAGTTGGGACCAAATTCATACAAATGTAGACTAACAGATCCAAACAGGCACATCGGCCTGTGTTTTCTTAATTTTCTTATAGAATTTTTCTTGAATGTGTCTTTCTTTTTTAATTATGGGGTCGGACGGGGAGGGGTGGGAGTAACTGTGTATTCTGTGCTGTGTAAATGGTGACTATGTAAGATATCTATTGTTGGTAGAGGAATCTTGATTCAGTACAGTTATCTATGTGTGATTGATAAGTAGCGTTTTTGGAATGTTCTATGAAATTTTCTTTCTCCTTAATTTGTTGCCATCATTATTTTGGGTCAACTACTTGAAATTCATAGCTGATTTTAGTTGAATCTCAAACTAGATAGCACGTAAAATATTGAAACAACTTCCGTTTCCTGAAATGAATCTTTTTTTAAGAAGAGAGAGAGAGAGAGAAGTACACCAATTTTGCCACTGGAAACGAGCTTAATTACAATTATTATCTGTAATTTCTGTTTCATAATTTGATATACATGTTAATACTTTGCTTCGTTATTTCTGTTTTTGGTAACTATTGATATTTTATTACCAAATGGAAGTATTGAAATGTTTCCGTGTCATAATCGTGGTAAATAGATTTAAATGACTCGAAATTTTTGCAGTCTCACTCCCATTCTAATAATTTGGAATTTTTACATTCCTATATCAGATAGGAAACCTTTTTATCCTCAATGTTTAAGGTTTGACTTAATTACACTTAGTATACCAAATTACCATTTCTATACCATAACTAATTAAGGGTATAATTAATTAGATATTTTTTACTCCTTAATTAAAGGGTTTCCGTTACCCGCCCAGTATCTCCACTCCTCCCTTACTTTCGCTCTCCGAATCCCTCAGCCCCGTACCCACGTTCTTTTACCCATACCCAGTAAAAAGGTTGTGGAGGATTTGAGCATGTTTAACCAATTTCTATTATTTTCATTGCCATAAACGACGAGATTACAGTAAGTTTATAAATAAAATAATTGTGGTTTGAGTGATAATGGATACTGGTAGCAGAGGCGGACCGAAGATTTAAAGGTGACGGGGGCACCATTATTTTTCAACATAGCTATACATATTTCTAGCTTTAGCATAGCAGTTTCGTAAGGAGTAACAAGAGCATATAGGAGAATCACAGAATTGTAGCATAATTGGAATTTTCGACATAATTGCGCTTTTTGCTGAAGATTTGTAGAAGTTTTAGTCGTTTTTGATTTGTGAAAACAGAAAACAAAGCATCTACAATCAGAATACAAATAATCTACAATTTATCTACAAAATATCTACAAACTGGGTACAAACTTCAGCTCTAGAGCTGAAGTTTTTGTTTGTAACTGGCGAACTTCAGCTCTAGAGCTGAAGTTATTTGTAGTTGTGATGTTCTGCCTTTTGTAGTTGTAGATATTTTGTGGACAGAATAGTTTTATTGCTGTATTTTACTGTTTGTAGTGTAATTGTAGTTAGTTTGTAGTTTATGTAGAACATTACAAGATTAATTGTAGTCTAAAATGTAGATATAATGTAGACATAATTGTGGATGCTGTGTTGCCTGTTTGCCCTGTAACTGTAGGTAAATTGTAGTTATTTTTATATTAGGTATTTAAACTGTAGGTAATTTGTACATTCACTGTAGGTAAACTGTAGGTAAATTTGTTTAAATTGTAGAGCTGGTTTTATACATAATTGTAGAGTTTTTATTTCTGTTTTTGTAGTTAATAGTAGTTATAATGTAGGATTCATGTACCGCTTCACACCATCTATCACAGTATGGATATGATCTGTTGAAGCCCTCACCTAAAATTACATAACAAACAGCAATAAAAATATTTACAATCATAAAATAGTTTATCTAATATTTATCTACAACGTATCTACAATTATATCTACTAATTATCTACAATCTACAAATTAACTACAATTTGTCGACAAATTATCTACAATCTCACTTTGATATTCCTCTATGACGGGAGAGGCTGGCATATCCCACACTGTAGTTTATTTGTAGATAAATGTAGGTATTTTGTAGATATTATCGTAAAATCAGACTTCCATATTGAAATCTCGTACACTTATGAGTAACGGATACAATCCTAAATTTTTATTCTCCTTTTTTGTCTCCATATACACACTAACCCCCATATTGTTCCTAATCTCCATTGGAGGACAATTCTCATTCACAATGTATTTGATTTCTACAATTTTTTCTGAAGTATCAATCATTAATTGCTCTGCAATTGTAGAAATCAACATACTGTAACTTGCACCTCATCGAGCACAATGCCATCAACTTGAAAATGTCTAAATCTGCCATAGCTATCCCAGTCTCCATTAAAATGTAGCATGATTGGGATTTTGGACATGATTGCTTGTCGTTGCAGAGTTATTGTTCAATATTTTGTCACTTTTTTGATTTTTTGGATTCAGAAAAAAAAAAAAAGACGAATAACAGAGAATCGCAGAATTAATTTCTACAATTTGACTTGAACTTTTTGATTAGGGATTGATGAAAAAAGTCGACAAACTGAGATTTGCAGAACTGATTTCTACAATTTGAAATTGAGCTTCTGATTTCGATGAACTGATAGTTTGATTTGTAGCGACAAACTGATATTTTAATTTCGACGAACAGAATATGTTTATAAATTGAAGATAAGCGATTTCCGTGATATGATATGATCTTATTCACGCCAAATCTGTTCAGAATATTCTGCTCCTAAAATTTAGCTCGCAAAAATAGGAAGATACAGCTGCTATTAATTAGCTTTTAATGATTGGTACAAAAACTGTAGAAATAATGTGGACTGGGCGGGTAATTTAGGAATTATGCACATTTTTGGTAATAAGGTTTCATATATGATATAGGTAAGAAAAAATCCCTTCTAAGTTTTCATGCTTGTTTGCTTCTATCCAGCATTCTGGTTCCATTTCCCTCTAATTTGTGATCGACTTATCCGCTCATTTGGCAAATTTAATAGATTTTATGTAAATTAAGCAAAATCTTGTGTCTATTTATAAAAATATGAGAGACAGAATGCAAAGACTAGACCAAAATGAACTTGATGACATGTTTTCATGATCCAAAATTTACCTAGTCGTGATGGCATCTAACCCAACCCGCTAGACAAGTTTAGGGGTGACAAAACTAACCCAAGCCAATTTGACCCGCTCAACCAGCCCAAGATTTAATGGGTTTGGGCTAGAACAGTTTTGAAGATGGATTGTTTTGGCTAGCCCAAGTTTACCCATCACAAATCATCAGCCCAAATGGACCTATGATGATACCTAACCTTGACCCATGAAAATGCTCAATCTTAGAGTTCTACCTTGACCGAGAAGTTTTATTGTGTGCCTCACGGCTCACACAACTGACATTAGTTGTGTGAGGCTTCTTTTTGTCGATCCCAATCTTACACTTCTTGGTCAACAAAAATCTGGGTACACAAAACTGTGAAACAAAAAAGATGTCTCATACAACTAGTGTCAGTTGTATGAGACACACTACTAGAAATCCGGAAAGATACGACCACAAAAAGCGACTAGTGTTGGTCGCTTATTGGCCAAAAAGCGACCAAACGTGCCTGGTCGATATTAAGCTGGTCCCTTTACCTTAGGGACCAAAGTTGGTCGCTAATTAGCGACCAACTTTGGTCTCTCAAGTCAAAGGACCAAATATTCCGGTAAAGACACTGACGACCAACTTTGGTCGCTATATTATTTTAATATTATAAATTTTGCGACCAAAGTTGGTCTCATTTGTGTAAATTTCGTTTTTTTTTATTTATTATTAATTGTAAAGTAGCGACCAACTTTGGTCTGTATATGAAATATTATATTTTAAAATCTGGAAAATGGCGACCAATGTTGGTCGCTATACTATAAATTTTTTAATTATTTTTTTTAAATAAGCGACCAAAGTTGGTCGCTAAATACACGAATTAATTTTTTTATTTATTAATAAGCGACCAACCCTGGTCGCCATATTTCCAAAAATTATTATTTTTCTGGTAAATAGCGACCAATCTTGGTCGCTACTTGGGAAATCTGGGTTAAATAGCGACCAACCTTGGTCGCTATTTCACAGAAAATTATTTTTTTTTAATAGAAATGCGACCAAATAGCGACCAAAGTTGGTCGCTTTTCTTGGTATACTGCTGGCAGGAACTGCCTCTTTTGGCAGCTACACCACCTGCCAGCTTACCAAAATTCCTAAATAGGCAAATATGCCAACAACAGCAATAACAAGCAACAACAACAACAACAACAACAATTATAACGAACAAAGTATAAAGTTCAATAGAACTTTATACTTTAAGCTAATTAGCAAACTAATAAGTTAAATGTTATTACAGAACCATTCGAAAACCAATTGTATTTGTCTAGCATAAACTTATAAGTTCAAAGATTGTTCTCTACATCATTATCATCACCGTCTGATGAACTTTCTTCACCATGACGGTATCTAGAATGGGCTATTTGTCGATGATGGGAAGAATGACCACGGGGAGGACGGG